ATATTCCTTTGGATAAGATTGGGGTCTGCTGTTCATTTTCCCAGTTCTATGCTGGGTTACTATCTGGGAATCTCTTTGGCCACCCTGGCCAACAACTCAAAAGAAGCAGTTAAATATCTTTTAAAACATTTAGTGTGTGTGTGTGTGTGTGTGTGTGTGTGTGTGTGTGTGTGTGTACACAACTTGTAGAAGTCAGTTCTCTACTTCCACCTTGTGGGTCTCAGGATCTAACTCAGGTCATCAGGTTTGGTGGCAAGTGCCTTTATCTGCTGATATATCTCATCTCTCCAGCCCTGTTCTTGTCATTTTATTTTTATTGCTTTTATCTTCTGTAGGTTATGCATCTTGCCACTATCTGTTCCTTACCACACTTTTATAGTACTAATAATTTTTCTTGTAACTAGCAGTTTATAATTAAATTTAGTTTTAAATAAACACTCTTTCTATATAATTAGTTTACTTTTTTATTTTTATTTTTTTGAGACTTACGGAGCCCAAGCTGGCCTCAAATTTGTGATCCTCCTGCCTCAGCTTTCTGAGTGCTTGTGATCACAGACTTGATACCCAGTTGCTGATGACTACTAGCTTTCTCTGCATGTTTTTTATTCTTTGTGGTGCTATGGATGGAACCAAAGGTCTCACACGTGCCAGGCAAGTACTCTATCAGTGCGTTATATCCACAGATGTTTATTTAAAATTTATTTATTAATGTTAGTTAGTATGGGGGTGACACACATGTGGAGGTCAGAGGACAACTGGTGGGAGTCAGTTCTCTCCCTCTACCATGTAGGTCCTGAGGATTTGAATGCAGGTCATCAAGTTTGGCGGTAAGCACCTTTACCCACTGAACCCTCTTGTTACCCTGTTTTCCTTGTTTTTAAACAAGTAGTTCTGAAAGTACTGTTCTCTAAATGCTCAGCATCAAAATGCGTTTGTAATTCATCACCTATCGCCATCCATTCCTGGCTAGGTGTCAAAATGGAAATGTCTATGACACCCCAAAAGCCATACAATGACCTGATCCCCAGTGTGCAGGATTAGAAAGTGAGACCTTAGGGAGGCTTTGCCCTTCTGGATGAGATTAGAGCCCATAAGATCCTAGAGGGAACAGGATACAATTGGATGGTAGAGTGCCTGCCTCACATGACCACAGCCCTAGATTTTAAATCTACCACCAAACAAAACAAAAACAAATGACAGACCTTCAAAGCTAGCCAGCCCTTCTATCATCGGAGGACCAGGGGAGAAAGCATGCTCTAAGAATGAGAACATGGTCATCACCACACTAAGCATCTGCACTACCGCCGAGCACCTCCAGCCCCAAGGACCGAGTTACGAACTTCTGTTGTTAATATTATCTAGTTTTAGGGTTACAGAAGCCTGAAGAGACTAAAGATACTAAAAAGAAAAAAATTTCCATTAGCCAGTCCACCAGCGTGTTTATGTTGTGCCCGTAACCCTTCCCTACAATTTCTTCCAGCTCCCTAATTAGGATTTAAGAACTCATTCCAGTTTCTTGGGTTAACTCTTTCACCATGAACCTTATATCAAGTGAAGAAGCTGATACCTTCTTTCAGGATGTTTGTTCTTAATTTTCTGTGGGCTTTGGACATCTGGTATTTATAAACAGAAGCTTAGGTGGGTAATTTGCAGGGACTTTTCTTTGCATGGTTTTGATCTAACCAGCATATGTGCCTCTTGAATTCCTTCCATGTCTGCCATGACAAGCTGTGTCCAGTTCTTCTCTGGCCTAGCTCCTCAGCAAGAGCCTGCAGGGGCAGCAGCAGCAGCTTCATTCCATCCATTCTTGAGCCAAGAGGACGACTGGCTAAAGAACCGAAGGCCTGCCCTTCTCAGGGACTGCATGGTGAAAGAGGTTGTGGCCTCTGAGCTAAGAGCAGCTCAAAAGCTCTGGTGGCAAGCTTCCTCTACAAAGCTTCTTCTCTGATCTTTGTTGGACTAGGGCTCCTTAACTCCAACTTGGTAGTCAATGCCATCAACATCCAGTACAAACATCTCAAGTTTGTCTGTACGGACACCTTTCCTAGCATTCTATCAGTAAACCTTTCCTCGTCATCCTAACTTTGGCACTATTCACCAAATGGGATTCTTGGGTAGGTGACACAGATTTGTGCGACCACCTTCAGTTACCATATTGAAGGAAAGCATCTAGAAATAAATTTAGGCTTAAAAACAGAGTGAAGGCAGAAGTATTCTAATGGGTAGAAATCATGAAGACAGGCTGGAGATGGACAGTAAATAAACACATCTATACTACCAACACCTACCCTTACCTTTGACAGTGGAATGAGAAAGTCCAGTTTGTATGAGAGGATCACCCTGGTGAGAAGCACCACAAACACCACATAGGCAGAGTTCTCAAAGTCTGTTAACTGCACCTGAAGAGCAGAAATATTAGGGACCAACTGCATGGCTTGGCTTATCCTGGACCCTGGCCCCCTCCAGTCACCATTGTTGAGCCATCCTGTCTTTCCCATTTGAGGCCAGAAGTCCTCTCTCCATGCTCAGAAGTCAGCTCTTGTTGGTTTTTGGACTTGCTATTGAGAGGTATGTTTGTACTGTTACTGCTTAGAATAAACTCAGAGCCCTCAGAGAAGAGACTGGGAAGGGTGGGAGCCATCGTTAAGGGAGCTTCAGAGTGACACATGACTCACCTCCATGGGTCGGAACTCTACTCTCCATCCGATATCTGAGTTTGGAGGGGGTGGTTTAAATCTCATTGTTTGCCAATTTGTGGACTGAATATTCTACAACAATAAAAAGCAAAAGATAAAACAATTTTCCACATATTCAGAAAATAATTAGATGCCATATATTTAATTAGGGACAAAGACCATGCCTAATACTTTCCAATTTTCACGTAAGAAGAAAAGGTGTAATTCAAGATTTCAAGTGTGAACTTTTGGAAAACAACATAGCACTTATGGAACACGTGACATGTATGTAGTACTGAAGTAAATGCTCAGGCAGGTGACGTGTGCAGCTCTGAGGTAAATGCTCGGGGTATTTCCGTATAGCCTATGTTTGAGTTTTATAGAACTGAAGAAACAACTACTAAGAATAATAAAGAGTACTTTAAATTTATTTTCAATGCTTTTCAGTTCCTTACTGCAGTAGGTAATGAAGGCAGATTCCTACTGTCACTAATTCTCACAGGCACTAAACAAACGTGACTTATGTATGGTTCCTGCAGTAAAATGCATTTAGAATAGGAGATACCTCAAAATGGTCAGACTCATTGGCATCATCCAGGTGTATTTTCTCTTCAAAAAGGGTCAGTGGGTCTCTAATAAAGAGGTGAGCAACATGCTGGGCCAGAAGATGATCAATGCCTAGAAAGACAGACCATAGAGTACTAACTGCACAGGCAAGGTATCGTGGAGAATTTCTAAGTCGATAGATTGAAGAAAGGGTGTCTAGAAGCTTAGAAAACAGCTGGATGGTTCAGTGTTCTCACCTTGCCCAGAATTTTATCCTATGGACACTGGGGAAGAGTCAGAGCTTACTCACTCCTTACGCAGTGCCTGCTGGGCACTGGTGTGGACCTAGATACAGAGCTCCAAAGTAAGTTCCTTTTGCTAAAAGTCAAGAAGATCTCACAAGTATTTGGAACTTGAACTTTAGGAACAAGCAGCCTCATAAGAAAAGTTAGAGACTTCACACTAAAAACAGAAACCAGACCAGGAGTCAGCAAGTTGAAAAGTGCTTTGAAGAACAAAAGGTGTACATATGATCAAACTGAGAAGAGTAGAAGGGATGCTCACCTTCCTTCAAGAGCTGCTCGTAGATTTCCTTATCTACGGTCAAATCGATGTCATTGTATTTCTCACCACACTTAGATAAGTAGCTGTCTATTGAATCATACCGAGATTTACTAATCCTATAGCAATTGTTCTTCAGAGGCTAAAATAGAGAAAAAAAAAAAAAAAAAGATCTGAAAATGAAGAGCCGAACAGCCCAGATAATTACATAGAAATGTATTTGCAATAGTAATATAGAAAAGCCTGTTCAGGGCCAGTGAAATGGTGCTGTGGACAAAGGTGCTTGCCATGCGAGCCTGGTGAGCTGAGTTAGATCCTCATAACCCACAGTAGGAGAGCACTAATTCATAAAGGTGTCCTCTGCCCTCCACACATGTGCCCCAAAAAACTCTTTCACACGCACGATAATAATAAAACTTTAAAGGACTTTTTGTTTTAAAGAACATGCTTATTTTTATTTATAAATATGTTCAACAATTTGTCAATAATTGTGAAAGGAACAGAGCAGAAACACCCTAGGTGAGACATCACTTATGGGAACCTCTTCAAAAACTTCCACAGTCTAGTCAGGTCCTTATCCTGGAGACTCTCATCTCAGAGAAGCCTGTGTGTCTGGCTCTCCATGGGGGAGGTGATGCACACTCTTGAGTGTGGAGTTGAGCAGTTACAGTTCAACACAGACACAGGCAAAGCCTAAACCTTTAAACGGGAAAATCATCTGACAACAAATGATACTTTCTCAGCAGAAAGCAGCATATCCAAAGCATCATGTAGAACCCAGAGCCTATTTTGTAACAACGACCATCAGCAGTGACTTCTGAAACAGAAAATGGAACTACTCTTTTTATAAGATGCCACAATGAAGAGATTTTAACCAAGTATAAGAACTGCCTCTACTCAATCCAAACCACACCCCTTACACATCCACCCTGAAACAGATGGCTGTTAATTTGACAAATTTGGGATGAGCCAACCTCGACTGAGGAATTTCTTCCATCAGAATGGCCTGTGGGCATGGCAGATGTGTGAGACACTTTCTTAACTTCTAATTGATACAAGAGGGACCAGCCTACCGAAGGTAGGCCACCCCAGGGCAGTGGGGTCTGTGTTGTAGAAAAAAATGATGGCATATCACTTGGGAGGCTGACTGGAATCAACAGGTCTTTAAAAGCTCAGTGGGAGAATCAACAGAAACTGCAGGATTCTATTTGGAATTGACGTTTTCTACTGTAATTTTGTTTATTTTTAAATTTTTTGTTTTCACTGGAAAGAAGATGATGCTCAGTTTTAAAACTGTACAAATTGCTTTGTTACAATAAAACTGTACACAAAAACAAACAAAAAAGTAAATAAATAAAAGCATAGCTAATACAGGAAGATATGAAATGGAGGGGTGGTGGGAAGGACTGGGGGGGAGGGTGTCTGAATGTGATTAAAATACATTGTATGAAATTCTGGAATCAATTTTTTAAAATTACTTTAAAAAAAGGTGGCTGAGCACAAGGCAGGGGAAGCAAGTCAGTAATCATGCCCCCACCGCTTTATTCGGCCTCCAGTTCCTGCCCTGGCTTCCCTTGATGGGACTCTAACCTGCAAGATGTAATAAACCCTTTCCTCCCCAAGCTGCTCATACCCAGAGCAGTTTATCACAGCAACAGAGAAGGAAACTAGGATAACAGGTTTACCACCTGTGCTTTCTTCCCACATGTAAACATCTACAAAGGAAACATTCAAGAGACCTTCAAAACAGAAGTGGTTACAATGCCAGTTTACCTGCTCGATTTAAAAGGGCTACTAAGAAAAACCACCCCTACCTCCAGTCCTCTCTCCTCCCGTGTCCTATCATCTACAGATGCAGAAATCACTCCCCAGCGACAGTCAATGTCTGACACGTAGCCTCGGTAAAAAGGAGATGCAGCACTCAAAGCCATCTGAAAACAAGTAAAAGTCGGTAAGTGCAGGTTCAGAGAGTCAGACATTGCTAAGACTCCACACACTGTTCATCAGTCCACGTAATCCACCGGGTCCTGTGTATGGATTTGCAGCTGCTGTTTTGTAAATAAAATGTGCTGTAGCAACCCCAATTCTATTTAATTCACTGAAATGACTCCTTCTCTAGCATGAGAACACAATGGCAGAGAGAATGGCCACATGCAAAACTGGTATTAGCAACAGGAAGACACTACACTTGGCTCCTCCATTCTCAATCCACACGCTATTTAAATTAGCTCATTTCTGAATGAAGCCTCAACTGGAAAACAGCACACTCGACAAATTCTGCACATGTGCTCTTATTTTATATAAATAAAAGAAAATGTAATTTCTACTTACGACAATTGGGCAGATAGTGGCCAATTGGTCATAAAGGTATCTGGCCTCAGATATGCTGCAGGCTTGGAATGTTACCTGTGTAAGAAAGAGAGCTATTAAAACAAACAAGTCATTAGCAGGCTCCACAAGCAGTAAGTCAGATAAGAAAGGTAGATGGATCAAAGGGGGCAAAGTCAAGGCCACCTCATTGATTACAAGGCTTAGGGTATGAGTTTTCTTTAAAAGCTGTTATGGGTGAATTTGATCACAAATTGGTATTTAACCATGTCCCACTGCATAGAGACAAGTCATAAATAAGTGAAATAAAACTATCAAAAGTCAGAAAAAAGAAGTGTCCCCACCACTTTACCAGTTAGGTGCTTTAGCCAGTTTTGGTAACAAAAAAAAAGGTTGGATGATAACAGCTTTCCAAGCACACTAGTGGCAGCTTTGGAGAAACACTTTAAGGGGCAAGACTGGACAGGAAAGCAGTTAAAAGCTCTGATCTGAGAAGGAAAAGCTGGGGGCTGGCAAAAGGGCATGCCAGGGTCCAAGCAACAGATGGACTCTGGGGACCGGTGGGTTGCCCGTGGTTTTGGTTGGGTGCTCCTAGAACATACAGAAGAGTTTAGAGGATACGAGGTGCTGTGACACGAGCTAATGAATTCACAGGACAGAGTACTTTAAGTGGCCGGGTCTCCAAGACTGGACTCACAGAAAAGACCTGAGCTGGAGAATATGTGGAGAGTGGGCTCAGATAATGTCCTAAAGATGAAATGACCCAGAAAACCTCACAAGAGACAGAGTGGAGGAGAAAAAAAAAAAAACAAACCTGTAATTTGTTAACACAAATCCTCTAAAAAAATTACCCAAAAGAAACAAAAGAAGTTCTGCGTTCCTTCGTGGGGAAGGGCAGTAATGGTGGCAGAGCTAAGGAACACATCTGGTATTTGGATTAGCAAAACTGCTTTAAAAAAATTTTTGTTTTGTGTATGAATATTTGCCTGCATATATGTATGTGCACAGTATGCATGCCTGGTGACTGCAGAGATCAGAAGGTGGCATGGAATCTCCTGGAACTTGAGTCACAGATGGTTGTTAGCTACCACGTGGGTTCTGAGAACCAAACTGGTTTTCTGCAAGATCAGTCATGGTTCTTAACTACTGAGCCACCTCTCCAGGTCCCTTGTACAACTGTTATAACCACAAATCAGGAACAGTTTTAATTTCCCCCATTATGGCTATTCAATGACAGTTCAAGTTTGAAATAACAGTGGCTGGGTGAGTGCATTGATTAAGACCCTCAGTCTGTTAGCTCCAGTAACTTTGCTGTATCTCAAATTTGCTTTATGACATCAAACAACTTCTGTGGGAGATGCACCTGTTGAATTATAACTGCACTTTATGTCAGTGTGGCAACTAACTCCAGAAACAATTATTTCAACAATTTGGTGTCCTGATCTTCCTATAGTTTCCATGTTAATGCTTAAGTTAGTAGGGTATTTCAATTAAAAGTAGTAATTCACAGCCACCACAGATTAAGGCAATGTGGCATAGAACTGTGTGGTGGCTTTTTTTTTTTTTCCTTTTCAAAAAGAGTTTCAAAGGTTACAAACTGAGAAGGGCTGGTGATAACGTCAACTGATGAGCAAAGCAGAGAAGCTCCTGCAAGGAAGTGGCACTAGGGATCAATGTGTGAGGCAGGGAGACAACCTGGAAGGTGCTGGCCTTAGAAGCAATGAGGACCTGAGCTTGATCCCCAGAACCCCAAAACAGTCAGCTGCAATTGCAAGTGCTTGTCATATCAGTGATGAGGTGGCAGGCAGGCAGACTCCTGGGGCTTGCTGACCAGTCACTCTAGCCTCATTGGTGAGTTCCAGGCCAATGAGCAACACGATCTCCAAAGAAAGTGGACGGCACTTGCGGAACAACACCTGAGGTTTGTCTCTGGCCCACACCCATACCCACGATCAACCTGTGATTCAAAGATTCAAGGTGAAATTGGAAACTAGATGGCAAGCAGAGCATTTGCTTACTGGCTGTGGTCCCACCATTTAAGCATATGTTCCAGGAGGACTCTGTCTTGCCAGTCCCTATCCCAAGTATGTGGGACAGTGTCTGACACATACTAACTGCTTAAGAAATTATTATTACTTAATTAACAGAGAATCATGAAGGAAAGAGGATAATGAAGAAGAGAACATCAGGCAAAGAGGTGAGATTTAAAAAAAAATGGAGATTTAAAATATCCGAATGTTCCCAAGTTCCGTGGATCAATTCTGCCACATATACATTTCTTAGTTTATCTAGGTTCTTCTTGTGACTTTTAGGTATGTTACTATATACTACTTTCTTTGATTTTGCAAAGATACTACAATGAACATTTTCCGTCTCAGTGCTTTGGCTGACTTCTCTTAAGACGGCTTAGGACATACTAGATAATTCAGAGGTAAATCCTGAAAAACCTATGAAACCACTCTAGAAAAATCTGCTTAAGTAGCAACTGAAATTAGACAGTTCCATTTGTAATAATTACTTAGTTATTTTAAGTAAGTTTACTAAGGACCATCCCTACTCTGGAGCTGAAACAGCTTGTCCCTCCAGTCAAACAGAATGTCACTGTGGATATGGGCTTTAATGGGGACAAGACCAAACAGGGAGCCTTCACGGTATGAGGACAGAGGTTTTAGCTTTTGTTGTCCTTCTGAAGAAGGGCCGTATAAAGAAAAGGCAGTGTCACCATGAAACGGACAACAAAAAAGGAGGAACTGTGAAAATGGAGATGCTAGAGCCTCATCTGAAATTAATCCAGAATCTACTTTTAAAACCTCATCGTTTTCTTAGGTGGAGAAAGCCCCAGAGCATGTCCCAACCTTCGTGCTTTGAGAGCATCCCACGGTGCAGTCCCATCATGCCTGAACTCACAACCCTGCTCTTCTGACGGGCTGCAAGCACAGCAGCGCCAGCACCCAGCACAGCCACGCTCTTGAAATACGTGAAATGTTCTCACTTTGTTCAGTAAGGACTGACTTACCAACTAAAAAATTACTTTCAAACTATTTTTTATCTGCTTTTCTAGAATGAGCAATTCCTACTATTCCAGTCAGAAGACACAATTTCTGTGGCCATTTGTGACCTCATCTCATTATCACACAATTTATCTGCATACTTTTAAAGGTAGAATGTCCCTGGGGGGAAGGGGAACTTAGTACTAAATTCACTGCAAAACTTAAGTAGGACAGAGAATTGTGTCCTTACACAAAAAAACTGTGTACTACCTACTGTTAAGATTTGCATAAATGAAAGTATTTCTAGGGGAAGAGTTTGCCTTTAGAAATGTGTTACAGTGACTGTGCTTCCTTGATAGAACATCCTGGCTTAATATTAAGACAAGAAAAGGCAGTGGGCATGCACACAGTGCTCCCAATTTTAAAGTCACGTACTTTGAGAGCTAGAGCTTACTGGTTCATTTTAGAAATGTTTGTATATAAGATGGGAAAGCCGGTAATGCATTTTAAAGTCACAGTCTCTTTTCAATTAAGTATAACCATTTCTAAGGAAACTTACTGGCCTCTTTTTGGGAGAAAAAAGTCTTGCCCCTTGTTCTGTTTTACAAACAGACAGCATGGAAAAATCTGACTTGGAGATTCAATTCGGATAAACCATAGTTTTTAAACAAGAGTTTGAAGCCTTGTATGTGACATGATGCATGTCCACTGCAGCTGAGAGAGAAGAGGAATGCAGGGTTTTGTAGACACTGTGCTGAGAGCCATCAAGCTGCCCAGTTTTATAAAACAAGTCAATGAGAGGGGAAGGAGTCAAAGACCTGAGCAGGGATAGAGCCAACAATCGACCACAGGCCTATGATGGGGGCTGTGTTCCCTCACTCAGGTCCTGAGAGAGCTTGGGCACAATCACCACAAGGGCCACTGGTAATTTAATCAGATTCAACAAAAATTTTAAATGAGTAAGCAGAGGAATATTTTACCTCCTGTTTAACTCAGCCAGGGGCAAGGCAAACAGGCTGTTAAATATTTATTCTTTTTAAACAGCTAGGTGGCTTTGCATGAGCATAGAAATGTAAAACTCGAACACTGTCCCCTTGGACCACAAAACCACTGGAGTACTTCTGGCATAACTAATTTTCAGAAACAGAGAGATCTGAGCCTTGTCTAACCCTAACAGTCTGTCACTAGATGGCAGCAAAAATTAAGCATAAAGAAAGAGATTGGAGACAGCGATCACAAGTACTCTGCATTTTAAATAACAACTATACACCTTCCTGGTGAACTGTAGACTGTAGAATTCCTAGTCCAGGCTGTTTCCTTTTTTTGGATTGCTTATTTTTATTTTATGTGTAGAATATTTTGCTTGCATGTATTCATACAATGCCTGCAGATATTAGATTCAGAAGATATTAGATTCCCCCAGAACTAGTTACACATAGTTGTTAACTACCCTGTGGGTGCTAGAAACAAAACTCACCTCCTCTGCAAGAGCAGTCAGTGCTCTTAACCACTGAGCCATCTCACTAGCCCCAGATGAAGAGTTTAAAGTAAGTTTACTAAAACAATTTCCTTTTTCAGAAAGGCATATTATTTGAATCTGATTAATAAGAGGTGGTAAGAAGAAACATGCATAAAGTTAGTAAACAAAGGAAGACACACCCTCTCCATGTAAAGAGAGCCATACCTGAAGGCAGCAATTGCCCATCCCAAAGCCCATGGCATCCATGTAAATGTGGTCTGGCTTAGAAGCCTTTGCTGCCTCCTCATCTTCAGGAAATGTTTCTATAAATGGAGATGGTGTGTTCTTGTCCTTAAATACTGCATTATTAATTTAAAAAAGAAAGAGAAAGGAAATGGCTGAGACTCAGGGACAAACACTTCCACAGGCTGCTCCACCCCACCCCCCACCCCCGCCAAAGACTTACTTGGCACATTGATGACAACCTTTTCCCCTCTTCTATGTCGGATGTTCCTTGTTAGGGTACTGAAACCAAGAATCAAACAGTGGTCACCCAAGAGCTGTCATGTTAAGGAATTTGAGCATACAGAAAATAGAACAAAATCCTACCTCAATCTAATACTAAGACAGTCCTAGCCTTCATGTGCCATGACACTCATGGGGGCTTTCTAAACAAGGCACTGGCATGAAGAACAGTTCCTTGGCTCTCGGGTTTGGAAGCTGTTCTCTCCCCAGGACTCCTCTGGCTACCTGAACTCAAGGTCCAGTGTTTAAGGCCTGCCATGGCTGGCTTATTCTGCTTCTAATTGCCCATGTCAACTCCAATGATTTTAGTCAAATTAAAAGGTTCATTTTTCTGGTATCTCTGAAGCCTCAATCATTCCTCTTGCCCCTTTCTTTCCCCCAATCCGCAGCACTAATAAGGATCCTCAAGATCGTCCAGGCTCACTGAGGCCACTGAACATTTGCAAAGTGACTAGTCCTAATTCAAACACAGAGGGCAAAATACATACCAGATTTTAAAAACATCACATAAAAAGGAAAATGATTTTTGAAATACTGATTATTCTTTACAATAACATTTTACATGGATGGGATTATATAAGCTACATTATAAAATCAGGTTCACTCTTTTTACTTTAGCATGACAACTAAAACATTTGTGATTCTATTTATGACTTGTATTACATTTCTGTTGCACAGTGAGTAACTCTGCTTAAATATTGTCTCTTCTCTAATGGGCCTTGATCCCTTCCCAGTTAGGACACAGCTCCCTATTCCAAGAGGACTTCTGGTTCTACCTTCGATAATTGTTATAATCCATCTTTTTCTGGAGTTGAATATTTTTATTTTCAATATTTAAATGTATTAAATAAATGTATTTAAATTTATTTAAATACATGATAGTGCTTGAAGATGGAAACTATAAATCTGTCTACCTTCACAAAGATTCTGCATATAATAGATGTGGAGGCCCACTAAAGGAATAAACACTGTGAAGTCCCAGTGTCCCCAACTCTCAGGATAGGTGAGTCTTCAAGGTAGAAAGCAGATATCAAGCTGGTGCTGGCCCTAATGCAATTTAAATCCTAAGAACTCAACTACAAACTAACAGACCTAGCAGATAACAGAAGGAAGAGTGTCTATGTCATAACTGTTTTTGTTATGTGTTGTTTTGTCCTTGTCACAGTATACAGACTAAGACCTAGAAGACAGCAGAAGTATGCACACTAGGATGAGTGGATTACAGACAGGTGCTAACTTGGAGAGTAAAGGAAAACTTCCCAATATAGGTGCTTACAGAATAAGGACTGAAAACAATCTGTACATTAAAGAGCAGAGTAAGGAGTGACTTTAAAGATAACTTGGAAAACGAACAAATCAAACCTGGATACAGGAAGCAAAAATTAAATAGCCTTGGGCTTCTGTGGATGTGAGCAGGTGTGTGTGTGTGCTGTCTTCTCTAGTTAATTAGGAAAGGAGTCAGAATTCAGTAAGTGCTTGAAAAAGATTCCCAGGACAGAACACCATACCCCAGAAGACAGAGATCTGACTGAGGGGCATGTCAACACGGCTGTACTCACCTGAAGCGGGGGTGCTTGTTTATTGCTTCGTCTGGAAAGAAGAGGGACTTAGATGCACCTCCTTCCTCTGGGTTGGGTTTGTACTCAGGCAGTGTGAATCCAGCACAGCCTAGTCTGCAGTCAATTGAGGAGGAAATAGGTGGGAACTGGCTTTAGAATTAATTAGCTATAATCTTGGTGCAATTTTCATCTGTTAAAACATCTCATTTCTTATTACTGCCCACTCCAGAGGGTCTCAAGGACAGTATTTCCAAAAATGCTGCTCCCTCTACTAGCCTTTTCTGCACTTCACTTTCTTGCATGGGGGGTGTGTGTGCGTGTGTGATGAAGCTTGTTTTAACTTATCAGTCTCCACTCAGCATCTAGAAACATTTACTCAGCTTCCAAGGACAGCATGGAAGCCTCTTTCCTCAGACACGCGCCATCATGAGGTGTAAGTGCCCTACATGACTGTGAAGGTGTCCTTCACTAGCTATGAACTATCAGGTATCTTTTGACCCTGTTTACCACATTGCTCCAACCTCCTCATGGGCTCTATCTGGACCAAATCCTCTGGTTTTTGCTGCTGCGGGTCTCCTCAGGAATCCCTCAAGGCTAGACAATGTCCCCAGTTCCCCATCCACCACAAAGTGCCCTCTGAAGTCTAAAACCCAACCTTACTGTCTTAGCCTCAGGAAGAGCTCTAGCTCCAATGCAGAAAAGCAGGCTCCATACTCATCTCCAACCTCATTTGTAGTAAGAACAGTCCTTTCAAGTTAGGAATTTTTGGATCAACATTAAGGAAGGACAAAGGCTGCCAAAGTTAGTGAAAGCAAAAAAAGGCAGCTCTGGACAGTTTTAGATCAGTGACAGAAACAAAAGTAGCCTAGACCTTATTTTAACCCCACTTTTTACAGTCAAGTCCCTGCAGGCTGCCTACCACCCTGTAAACAACTGAAGCTGCTGGTCTTATCTGCAAAGCAGTTCTGAGCTCCAAGGCCTCCTGGGAATTCTTGCAGCAACTGTGCATCCTTTACTGAGCCTGTAACCTTAGAAAAAGTCCTTTAGGAGAATGACGAACATAAATCTGGGGAGTGCCAGTTACTTAGAACCAGGCTGGATCAAGAGACTAAGGACTCATGTGGCAGAAAGGACACATTCAGAACGTACATCCTAACATTATACCACCACTTTCAGAACTGTATTGTCTACCAGAATATTCTACAATAATGGAAAGCTTAACATCTGTGCTGTCCAAGACTAAGAGGCTGAAATTGCACTGTATGTAAGTTGGCTCAAAATTCAGTGTTCTGTACTATAGTTCTAGACTACAAAGCTTTGTGTCTTTCAGAGAAAAAAATCACACTGTCTACACTTAAAACATTCAATCCTGTAATAAAACTTTGGACTTCACAGTAGTAGCTTTTTGTTTTTTTTTTTGTTTTTGTTTTTGTTTTTAAGATTTTTATTGTTTTAAACTCCTGTGTGTGTGTGTGTGTGTGTGTGTGTGTGCCCCAGGAGGCCAAAGGTGTTGGATCCCCTGGAGCTGGAGTTACAGGCAGCTGTAAGCCACCCAGTGTGGGTGCTGGGAATTGAACTTAGGCCCCCCAAAAGAACAGCACATGCTTTTAACTACTGGGCCACCTGTCCGGCCCCTGCAGGGAGATCTTGAAGAACTAAATCAGTAATAATTAATCTTTTTTTATTTGCAAGTCCCAAAACACCTCCTGTCCTAATACATGTGACTAGGCTTCAGTTTTTTTCTAAAGAATTAGACAAATTTTAGAATGGAACTCACTCCTGCCTCAATTCTATTTATTTATTTATTTATTTAGCCCCAGTTGTCCTGGAACTCACTATGTAGACCAGGCTGGCCTCAAACTCACAAAGATCTGCCTGCCTCTGCCTCCCAAGTGCTGGGATTAAAGGTGTGCACCACCACGCCCAACAATTCTTTTCTTTTTAATGGAAGGAGCTAAACACTTTCTCCAGATGTCAGCTGCTCCACATAATGCTATTCTCAGCTGAGGTAAGACAACACAATAGGGTTTAGCCACGTACTTGACTCTGTGGCCCAGAAAGAGCAGTCAAGCATCACACACTAACAGAGTTCTGATTTGGGTTATAACCTCCTGTTCTATTTGAGTTTGCTAAAGCAAGATGTATAACTCTTAATGTTTAGACACTACATTTTCAAGGTCTCTGAAAGTTGTCAAATAATACCTGCAGCCTGCTTCACTGACTGCTACTCTATTACCCGACAGTTTCCAGTGATTACACACAGCAGTATCCTTCACATCTCTTTTCTCTGCCAGCAGATTGGCCAATTCTGTCATTTTATGGTCCACTCACTTTTTCCACTGATTCCACCTACCCTCAGATCCAGGTCACCAAAATATTCCCTGAGGGAATTCCCTTTCTCCTCTTCTAGCAAGCCCTTAGCACCTGCTAGGCAGCCACCCTCATGCCAGGCCTAGACATGGGCTACAAAGCAAAAGGGTGATACTATTCACCTAAGCTACTATCTACCCAACCCAGATTCCCAAGGCCTCACACAGCTTTCAGAGTAATCATCAAAGTTCTTAATAGCCTGCCCTGTCTCACTGTATCAGTGCTTGTACCTCCTGATCACACCAGCTAACCTGCCTTCTACTTCCCAACAGACTTACACTCTCCTCATTTCCAAAATACCTGTCCATGTTACTTTAGTCTTGTCCCTAGGACACTCCCTTGCTCCATCTCCCAAAAAACGCCTCGAGTTTTGGATGTCAATTCAATCCTCCTTCCTTGGAGAGGCCTTCTTCACCCCAAAATCTATCACATAGCCTTGTCTACAACCCACAGCACTCCCCAATTTGATAATTATCAAATATATGGGCATCTGATTAATCTTCACAGCCCCCTCAGCTTTGTAGGGCAAAGCCTGTCTGAGTCTGGTACAGAACGGGCACTCAGTAGATAATCTGATCATTGGCTTAAAGTTGTTAACACTACACGTAGATATTACTATGGGGAGCTTAAAAACTACAACTCCTCAGAGATCAGATCAATCATATGATTCTGAATGCCCATGTTCTCAGAAGAAAAAGCAACATCAGAAAAGTTTACTGTTTTAAGGCCATGGATACCAGCCCCCATAGCTCTCCTGAATTTGGAGGTGGCAGACATATGACATAGATGAGATTTATGAGTGTGCAGAACTCTGTTACACAGGGACACTACGTTTACCAGGATACTCATATACCCCCATTCTAATCCAAGAACACATTTCACTATGTTTACTTACAGGTTTTTATGTCATAATTAGATTTAGTGTCAAATCCTAAGTCTTTTCAGCATAATACACACATGACACAGTCTGTTCACATCTATTAACAGCACAACAGGAATAAAGGTGATCTGAGGCTCCAATGCTGCTCTTCTCTGTTCTCATCTTACCTGGGCAAGGTGTCTGCAGGCTGTGAAAACATACTCCCTCCTCTAAGTTCAAGAGCACTGTGGGGGCTGCTAGCCAAAGCTCACAATACTTCACTATTTCTCCTTTGAGAAAATGCAAGCAAGTGTGATTGCTCTAGTCCAGTGAGAGTTGCAGGAGAGACGGCTTTCTCCACGAGGGCAGAGCTGTACTCTTCCCACATTGCCAGTCACAGGGTCTTCCCCACCCAGCCCAGATGAGTGCTCTCATGAGTCTTTTGTATAGCCACCACCCACTATCTGAAGCTGGCATGCAATTCTGCTGCAGCCCTACTATCTATCAAACGCCAGCAGGCAAGTCCAACTGTGGCCCATGGGCTACATGTGCCCCATTGTAGCTGTGAAGGTGACCCAACACAAAATTGTAAACTAACTTCAAAAATGACTTCTCTCTAACTCAGGTGTGTAGTTTTTAAGTGAACTTTGTAGGGGACAATGTTGTATTGCAATGTCAAAAGGCATGAACTATCTTTAAAGTGGAGGAACTGTAGTATGAAATGCTCGGGTCACAATTTGTTCCCTTTATAACCTCTAGCTCTGGTACTCTTGCTGGGACATGTTGAGGTAGGAACTAACCTGGGAAATGAGGTTATTGTGCAAATAGCCTGGTTTTCTTCTAATACAGAAGTAGCCTCCTTCCGGCGTTTCCTCATGTTGTCCTCGACTGTGTTGAACTCAGACATGGTTCCTCCGTAGGGCTGCCCAGGCGTCCCTTCAATCATGTAACTCCCATACTCTGGTCTCCAGAGGGTCGGATGGCTGCAGAGAAGTTATTTTAGTCTCCTCTTATTCCTGAGCTGCACTCCACTCAACTATTCTGTTTTAAAAAGTTGTTTCAAAATTTTTATAGCCATGGGAGCTGGAGAGATGGCTCAGTGGTTAAGAGCACTGGCTGCTCTTTCAGAGGACCTGGGTTCTGTTCCCAGCACCCACATAGCAGCTAATAACCATCTGTAACTCCAGTTCCAGAGAACCTGATACCCTTGTCTGCCTCTATGGACAATGTACCCACATGGTACACTTAAATACAAGCATTCATGCTTGTATTTAAATTTTTAACAGTTATTAGGTACAAATGAATAGAAAGCTTATAAAAGGCTACAGATGTCCATGGCTCTTCAACTACATAAGTCTGAAAGTGTTGGGTCCCAAGTTCTGTTAAGTAACTGGATATGCTCACAGGGCAGTTACTGTCTAGGATAAAGCTAGTGCACTCTACAGAGAAGGAACTGAGTCTTACTGGCTTTTAGCGTAACACTGGGGTCCAAACTCAAATGCAGATTCTCCAAAGTGACTAAGTAGAAAATGAACTAGAGCATAGAAGCCTTTAGCCCTGTCTGCATTCCTACGTAAACGAAATATGCAAACACCATGCCAACAAAGCAAAAACCACCTGCAAGTTTTTGCCTGCCACTTTGGAATGGATCTCAATTATATTTCAGCAATGTGTCTTTAAACAAATGTTTAATGAGAGTAAACACGTTTTGCACACTTTAGCTTACTGTACCGAGTGTTTTAATATGCCTTTGAGGTGTTGTACCCACACTTTAGAGATGAGGAAACTGAGGCATAGGGAGGTTGTGTAACTTGTCCAAGGTTGCTCACCTATGGAATGGGGGAACCAGCACTTGAAACCCTGTAACCTGGGATCAGAGCCTGCACTCTTAACTGCTGCCATCCTGTCTTCTACAAATCTAAGAAAAGGTCCCATGTCTCAGTTATTCTACAAGTCCCAGAAGCACCAATCGTGTGTGTCTTGGGCATGTCTGCTTACTTTGGGTTTGTCCTTTCCCCCTTCTCCTGCAGTGTTTCCAGAACATCTTCTCCAGACAGGACCAACTGGACTTTTTTATTTTCATGATCAAAAGATACCAACATGTATTCCACCTATGAAAAATATTAAAGGCAAAAGATTAACATTTTTTTCAGACTTCAGCTCCATATGACCTACACAAATAAAGGCAGAGAAATGTAAAGGTTGAAAAGGATTCACAATAGCTAGAGACAGTCACTGTGGTGCTCATTTGTACCATATAAACCCTGGAGACGGTCTGTCCATGGGGCATTGTTTGAAGACAAGATCTCATTCTTCATCCATTCTTTCCTCTATTCTATTCAATAGCCTATAGAAAGGTCAAGGTGTTCATTTTGACAAACCCCATTTAAAAGGAGCTGTAGCTGAGATCCTGTGAGCTGCGCCTGTAAAGAAGCTGCTTCAAAAACTCATTACCTGAATCCTTCAGTAAAGGGGTTCTCTGGGCATTCTAATCAAGGTAGATTATACTTCCTGTCAGATTTTTATAATCCCCCCACAGCCCCTCCTTGAGGATTAAACCACACTCATAAACACTCCAGTGTGGAGATGTTTTAAAGGTTCTAACAATTTAGTTTTGGTGTACCACAGTAATTTTAGACAACTTCTTTGCTCTAAAATGGCAGAAAATATATAATGCAGGTTTACTGCATTATAGTTATGATACCTGGTAGAATTCTGACGAAGTCGTAAGTTAACTACCAAAGTAAAGACTTTTGTATAGAATTTGAACTTGCTTGTATTGTGGAGGTGGAAAGCTTTTGCAATGTGATAGCAATTAAGAACTTTACAACAGGGAAAACTCTTAAGAGACAGGTATGGGGGAGGTGAGCAGGAGTCTCCCATTCTGACCCTGTGGTTGCCCAGGATGAAGGTCTTTGTTTTCCAAAGTTTCTCATTCCTGTAACCTTTGTGGCCATGTGTTACCTTGCCTAATTATCACATGTACTTTTTACTAAATTGTCACCTATGTGACATTTTGCCTTTTGTTTGCATTTCCCCACACATGAGTATAAAGAGCCCCCCAATACTTGAACATGGGGTCTGACTTCTTTATTTGTGGTGTCAGTCCCGCTAGTGTCAAATTAAACTTCCTCTCCTCACCTGACTGGCTGTTGGTCTCTGATTTTTCCATAACACTTGTGCTTTCTCTGAAATTGTATGCTTTAAGCAACAATGGCTGGTATGAATAGTTTTGGTTATGGATCACTATCTGTGACTACAATTAAACACCAACTGTCCATATGTCAATGCAAAGTTATGAAGCTGATCATTTGGGCAAACATTTGATAGACCCTTTGCACAAAGACAGTGGCCATAAAGAAGTGTCAAGCTGACTGCCCACAGAGCAAAACCCAAATGCATCTGGCTTGGCTTATTTTTATTCAAGAAAAAAAGGAAAGAAGAAAGGGGGAAGGGAAGGGAGAGACGTTGCATGTATAAGCTCATATTCTCAGCCTTAACATCGACCTAGAAGCCAGCTCCCCGCTGTCTGCTCCCTTCTGGGAGTATGCACTCTGACCCTCGGTATCCATCCTTTTATTTGGGTGGGTCTAGCTCAATCTTGGCAGACATCTGAGCCAGCCAACCCATCAAAGTTGGTTTTGTTTGTTTGTTTTTGTGACAGGATCTCACTAAGTTGCCCAGGCTGGCTTCGAATTCACTATGGAGCTAGAGCTTGATCTCAAACTCACAACCTCCTGCTTTGGTGTCTCTAGCGCAGAAAGTACTAGTATAGGCATCCGCCACCATGCCAGGCACAAACATGAATTTTTAAGAGCTTGTTTTGTTTTTCAATTGAAACCCAACTACCAAACAAACAAACCTTTACTAGTCATCTTATGAGTTTGGGTTTTAAATAGGTAAAATACTTGATTTAGGTGCATGAACCAGAAATGTGAGATCTTTAGTCATCGTACTGAAGACCATAAGCTGCAGAAATCTGGAAGAGCTGTCATGTGGCTGGTGTAGGACAGCATCCACAGACCTAGGACTCCCACGGAGGTAAGCCCTGCTGGAACAGGAAACTTTTTAAAGTCTTCCAGTGCTCTTAGAACAGGGGCATGAAACTCACTTCCCTTGTCTTCACAGGCATGCTGTTTGTCTTTAACTGAGCATAATGAATGACTTTTCACATACAGATCCTAACATTTTAAGCCTGTTGTTATGGTTTAAATGTGAAATGCTTCCCACAGGCCCATGTGCTTGAACACTGGGTTCCCAATTGATGGCACTGTTCTGGGAAGTCCTGAACCTTTGGGACAGGAGGCATGGCTTGCAAAGGCTGCAACCCTGGGGGCAGGTCTCAAAGGGCTGCTTCCCACCATCATACTTCTTGAACCAGAAGTTCCCACTTCCATGGACAGAGCCACCGCAAGCCTTCGTGCTTTCTCCGCCATGATGACTGTACCCTCTGAAACTGTGAGCCCAAGCGTTGACAAAATGCAACACTACCCACCTCACAGAAGCAGGTCCCTCTGTCCATTCCATGAGTAGGCAAAGCCAGGCAACTTAAGGCCCGTGTACCTTTGAAGCTCTTCTGCCTACCCTTGTGGTTTAGTGCCCCTTCTTGCTAGGACTACAGAGGATGCCAATCCTGGTAGGAAATGATAGGCTACTTATAAATTGGTGTAAGCTACAAAGCGGTGACAAGTTCACAACTGCCTCAAGCTCTCTCAAGTGGACTTTCCCTGTATTAGATGAAGTGGGGCTGCCCTTACCACAAAAGTTAAGATGTAACTAAGGATACAGTCATTGACTTAAATGTGTGAGGTGCAGGGCAGAGTCTACTTGTACTGATCCCGATTCCTTCAGCTGGACCTTCTTCCTTCTCTCACTGGCCACACACATCTATCTGCCTGGCATCATCTGTTACAGAGTGATCTTAAGCAGATAGCAAGCTTTCTAAAAGAGAGAGCAAAATCCTAGCAAACTGGGCCTGCATTTACCTGTGTCCAAAACGAGCAAGATCATCTGTGCTGATTATGGAACTAAATTTTAGCAACTTTGATTAGTTTGTCCTAGTTTTAAAAAAAAAAAAAGAAATCCTTAGCTTTCAAAACCACTCAGCCTCATATTTAAAGCAAGAGTGGGGCAAAAGGGTAAAGAGCTCAAACTGCTTTGAAATCAGTGAACACTTAGAAAGTTAACCACTCCTAAGTGAAAAGGAAGCTGCCCACCATCTCGTTAAGCAAACAAAACAGAAAAATATCAGAACAGCTGCGACACAATAAAGAAAAACACACTGACTTTTAACAAGGTCTAAGTTTCAATTAAACTTTGTAAAAGTTCTGCGCATCTTTCAATCTTACATATAAAAGATAAAACATTCAAAATAAATGAAGTCCTTGTGGTTGGGCCCCCGCCTTTCTGCAGCAGTGCTCAGAACTGCTCTTCCCCTCCGGTGCTTCAGGACTACTTCCCCACATCTGCATTCATTCCCACTTCCAGTTCACATGACTTCAGAGACCTGAATCTTTAAAAGCCAAAGTTGGGCTAAAATAGGATCTGGTTCAGTCACCTAAGTAATGAGTGATAACAGGAAAATGACAGAGCAAGTCAACAATTTCCCATATAAAATACCTAGTCACATCATGAAGTCTGGATGTCATCCCTATCCTAACTTCCTTCTTGAATGCAACAGAGAGAAACACAGTTAAAGACAAAAATAAAGCAATACAGTGAATCATTTGATTCCAATATTAACACATAGGCATCACCAGTTACTGTTCTCAAAGTGGGTCCTTTTTACCTCTCAGAACTGGGGAACCAATACAGCTGAGCACCACTTCAGAAGTGAAGATGTCCAACAGTACAAGTGTTAGACAAACTTGCAAATCAACTTCTCAGCCCTTGGGAGTCAGGAGTAAAGGAAATGAAAGGGAGGGCTGGGCTAATTAAGGGAAGGGCTGTTCAAGTCTTCCAGGAACAGACAGAGCCACTTTTCACTTCTTTTCCGTTCTTTCCAGTTGCTGCCTCAGCAGCTGTCAAGTGCCAAGCACTGAGGATATGTCACTGAAGTATCAAGAAGTTAAAGGCTAGGGACAGGGGTGGAAGTCACTCTACAGCCATCTTAGACTCAACCAGTTTCAGTTAGCCCACCCAAAGAGGGGCATCTGGCCTACAGGCATCAAAGGCAAAAAAGGTTAGGGTAGAGTGAAATTTATCTAGATCACTGCAGCATGCAGGTTAACACAGCATCCCTCCTATTGAGGTTCTGCTTTCTGTGGTTTACTTATCCACAGCCCCAAATTAGTATGTCTTACTTTAAAAGAAAAATTTATTATTTTTATTTTATGTGTATGAGTGTATTGCCTGCATGTAGGTAAGTGCACCTGTGTCGTGCAATGCCTGCGGAGGTCAGAAGAGGCTGTCAGAGCCACTGGGATTGGAGTTACAAACAGTTGTTAGCTGCCATGTGGGTGCTGGGATTCAAACCCAGATCTTCTGCAAGAACAACCAGCGTTCTTAACCGCTGAGCCCTCTCTCCAGGCCCATCTTACTTTTTTGTAAAGATAGGCCTCACACTATGTAGCCCTGGCTGGCTTGGAACTTGCTCTGTAGATTAAGCTGGCTTCAAACTTCCAGAGCTCTGCCTTCCGAGTGCTGGGATTAAATGCATGCACCACCACACTGAGAGTATTTTTTATCTCACTAGACTAAAATAAAAGTCATTAAATCTTTCAGCAGTTGAAGAAGACATATAAAAACCCTGTCTCGACAATCTCTGAATTGCTGAATTAAGACAAAGACACACATAATAGACTATTGTGAATTCTGCTGTATGTACTATATAGCGTTCCTAGGAACAACTGCATACATAAGCCGTAAGTTGTTTAACACAGGTTTGAACAAAGGTGAGGTTCTTTATAGTCATCTGAAATTAAGACCAATAAAAATCTTGTGATGCAACTCTTCTGTAAAAAGCTGACTATATAACAGTCACACAGCAAAACATTCACAGTATTAAAGGTAGTAATGTTCAAAATCTTAGGACTTACATAAAGCCTGTAAGTAGCATTTGTGAGCAGTACAAATTAAAAATTTCCCCTATTTCTTATACATTTAAAAACTT